GATAATCAAGTTACGAAACCATTAGTCCTAACCTTTCGATCAAGGGTCATTAACGTTTAACCCTTTAAGGTGAGATCGAAAAACGAATCTTTTCTTTATGTACTTTCATTCGAAATGAAGGTCCCCCTAACAGCATAAAGGCTGTCATATGAAATGGTAGTCTCGAAAAGCCATTTATAATAAACCAAAAATAAGGTTTGTCAGTTGCATTTCTCACAGTGGGAAATTCGACTGTATCGCCCTGCAATACCTCAAGCGAACTGATGTGACCTGGAAATTATGCAAACTCCAGCGATATTTGCGAAAGACAGTCGTGAATCGGACAGTTTTGGGCGGAATTTTGCAGTGCATTTCAAGTGGACTCTTGATAGCTGCAATTCACACAATTTGTCAGGCTACCCATCACGTCGGTTGCCTTCGTAACGAAACAAAACTAGGAGTACAGGCTCAGTGCAATCCGTTGCCGGCCCTTGTCAGGACGGGACACATAATGAGTGTGGAAACATGCAGTCCAAAGGACCAGGTTACACCCGCATGTGCGGTCATGGCAGCCGGGCAAAGGACATGCGGCCAGTCACACTCAACTCTGATGTGCCAGACATTGCGGAGGGTGACCCCGACCCTCGTACCGACAGGGCCCAATCGACACTTGGCGTCGCCAGGTGCGACCGAGACCTACCCGAACCGGGCCGGACCGCGATGGGCTTGCCCATTGATTGGGCAAAATGGGATAGGTCCGCTTCAGCCGTCATACCGGGTTGAGGGATTAGGCTGTTTCCCGTGCATGATGAATATGCTAATTGTGAGGTAACGAGATCTCGTCAGCCTGGCAGACTGCGGACGTCGAGAGGTTGCAGACCTCCAAATGGCCCAATTGTTTATCATCCGGTTCGGACTTACCTCGCGAAGTCAACACGTGTGGCTCAACAGCCCGACCGACTGTCTCCTCCCTTCTTGGTTGCGCGGCCTGGCTGGGCAGCAGCACCACAACAGCCGTTGTCGTCAAGCGCGGGGTTATCATAAACTCACTTTCCTTTTCAGTCGGGCTAAGCCT